TTTTTTTCCTTATTATACCTTTCCTTTCCATCTTGATGGTACGGGCAAGGTAAAAAGGGAAAGTATAGTATACGCATATACATGTTTGACTACACATTTCAAATGTTGATATTTATGTTTTGTTATTCCTGTATCTCAACACTGACACTGAATGACACTGATCGTAATGTCTCGCATCAACAACTGTGGTGAACGCTAGTGTAATCAACACTAAACTCAGTGGCGTTGGATCACCAAACGCTGACATGACACGTGGAAATCGCTTGTCGTGTTTTTAAATTTAATTGCGTGCGTGTACAGACTTAAAACATGGTGACGTACACAAACACAATAATCCATATATTACGGCAAATGACATTATGCTTTGTATTAGTACAATGCATGTCGCTTATCTATACAATCATCAATATAACATAAAAGTCGTATCTGCCTGCCAGCAATTGTCACTCGTCTTCATTTGTATAACATCCGTGTTACTAGCAACAGAAGAATATGTTCAGATAGTGCACTTCTTTTGTATTTTGATATTTAAATCATAATAGCAGTCATTATAGAAATAACCACCACTTCAGTTTCTTCAAATCTAAATGAAAATACTATATTTTGTACATTGAATCCTGTGACTAAATATGACAGTCACTTTAATTATGTATTTCACCATCATGAATATGCAACATTACTTTGAACACGCATAATAATAATTCTAGATCACATTGCAAGTAGTATATGTTCTGATTCTAGATGTATATACTAATACACACAAGCATGACTGGTCTGACTGATCACATCAACGTGAAAAACATGATTGAAAGTACTAGTATTAAAAAAATAGCGTTGATAATAAAACTATTCCAATCGATTAGAATATATATCACACTAACAAATGACAAATTTACGACATTCGGTAAGATATTAAGAATTCATGACGAAACGTATTCTCTATGCGCTAAATTGATAATTTTCATAATTACCGATTGCACACGATTATCAAAAGAACAAAGGATATTCGCTATATTCTCTATATTTTTGCATTTTATTTTTTTTTTGGAATTATGACTGAAAGTAAGTTAATGAAATTAAAAACTATGTAGTGTGTTCAACAACTCGTGTATGAAGAACGACTTTTAATTAATAGATATGTTTTTACTTGGTAAAAGTACTGCATTTTTCTGCATAAAAACGTAAGAATTTCACAATATTTAAAAACGGAAATTCTTTATCGTAGTGTTCACTGTATGATTAAATACTCTGAAAGAACGACAGTCGTGATTAATTCCACAATATATGATAGCCTATGGGCAAATGTTCTTGAACCCAAGTGTCGATAGCTGATGCATCAGTTTATTTAGCTATTATAAATATATACCATAAAATTGATGACTAATTGACCGATGACTTCTGAATTATTTTTGTGAAGGTAGGAACATGTTATTGAATATTATAAATGTCACGTTATACACGCTGATTGTAAAACAAATGCGCCACAATCTCCAATTATCAAGCGTAACGACCACATTATTAAATGGGTTACCGACCTCAACATTGTTGGGGTCACTATACAATCAAACGTAACGTTGGTGCACATATCAACAATATTCTCAGTAAAGCCAATTACGTCTCTATATGCTACATTGTCTCATTTTACCAGTCACATATTTGTGACATTACAACAAGACACACAAGACATTCTTTTTTGGAGTATGCTGTGTTTATGGGACCTGATTTAACAATTCGTTGTTCAGTAATTTAAGTACACTAGTTATGATTGTGACCTAGCTTTAACACATCACATAACGTGCGTGAACGAAGACTAATTATGAACAAGTAACATGTAGAATGCTGTGTGAATGTTTTGTGTTGTTGCATTTGCAGCAAATAGTTATCAAACAATGAGAAATATATAAGATTGAACATACACCTGAGCTGGCTTCACATGCATAGTTCAAGCCTGTCTAAATTGTGCTTATACCAGGATTTAGTTACAGCACCAAGACGGACTGTGGTTACAGATTTATGTTCCAAGTAATCGCAAGAAATTGACATTACAGCGGAAAATAAAAGACTGGCACTCCCATGCAATTAATAGCAAGTGAAATTCCTGGATTGAAACATATATAGATTTGAAGTCACCGATGTAGGCAATAGATAACTTGGCATAAAGGCGAGGTAGTTTATTTAATCAGTGCTGAACTAGAGACTGAAATTATAATTACGTTCGTTGTCATATAATTTGTTTATTTCTCCTGAAGTCACATAGAATACATTGGTGAAAGGATGTTTTGGGGTAGTGTCATATAATTTGTTCATTTCCAACTCTCATGAAGTCACATAGAATTTCACTTAATTTATTTACGCTGACAAGTTTTCAGGCATTACGTGTGAACCTAATTTTCACTGCGCTGTGGAAATGGCATTTTCACTGGAATGGAAAAAAGTTTTTAGTGAAAATGAAGTACTATTCCACAGTTATTACTTAGAGGCCCTTTCAGGGTCGAAAGGTATATTTGTGTATGACAATTGTTAGTTTTAATCAGTAGTCACATATACAAGTACAAATAATGAAGAACTAAGAGTTTTAAATGTAACATTTTATTTGTGAGTGGAAAAATAAAAATCTTTTACAGTAATGATTAACACCGACAGTTTGCAAAGTGTTCGCAACTGACAAAATATTGAATAAATATTTGAAATATGACTTCAAACTGAAAATAAGATTGAGTGAATCTTCTTATGTAAATTCAAGTGAGATACTGCACACTGTATATTATAAAATATATTTTTTGAAAGAGAAAATGATATGGTAGAGCTGCAGTTTATTTGTGAATTTCAATCAAAAATAGTTTTTTTTCGCTTTTTATATTGATTTTTATCTGAAGAACATTCTTTAAAAAATTGACTAATGAATTTTTATTGGAACACCGTTAAAATTGCTGGTTATTTTCTGGTTAAAAATAAAAAAAAACACTCACACGTGGCAATGTTTATGTCCAATTGCTTAATTTGCAATTGCCTAATTTGCACGAGTAAGCAAAGAACAGAACTTTTGATTGACAATATGCACATTGAGATTGTACGAGTCATAGTACATTCAATCACGCGCATGTGCAATTATTCTCAAATCAATTCTCGTTCGCTAGCAAACCAACATTATATTTTCTCGGCGTTCTTTCCTAATTTTTATCATTATATTATGCGTAGTGTGAAACGAAAGAGAGGTAGAAAGAAGATCCAGAAGATTTCTGTGTCGGAAGAAGCAAAAGCTACACTGAAGGCATCAGACCGTGGATCATTTTATGACCAGCACAACGATGAAGTTGGCGTCCAAAATTTCGGAAACTGAGGACTTATTCTTACTCGAAAAGTTCGACCAGTTTTGGTTTTCGGCCGAACGAAAAACAAAATCGACGTGAGCGTCCAAACGTGACTTTCTCTGAAGGCGTGAATCCGAGTTTCTGATTGACTGAGAGATTTTATTCTTTATTTTTTTGAGTAACGAATGTATATTCTAAACGAAGTTTCAAATAAAAACGAACACAACTGCATTGCGTAGCAGCAAATGATCGTCGTTCCATAATTGTTGAATATAATTCAATAGTGATTATAATAATGTACACAAAATAAATTCGTTGAATTGTTATAAAATGCAAATAAAATTCAACTTAGTTTCATCGTAAGCGAACGATTCCGGTCGCAGATAAACTCTATGGTCGTTCCCTTGCATAAGTTCACCTAATCGCTAATTAACCAATCAAAAAGCTGGATGATGTCAACGTGTTCAAATTACCATAGCTCATTTAAATATGTTAATATTATTGAACGCAACACGGAAGAGACTTGCTGATGTTGTAGTCCGATCTTTTGTCTTGGCTTTTGATGGCAAAAAATATGATAAAAATTGGAAGACAATACCACTTAAAATGATAAACAAGTCTAAGAGGTTACTCATTAGATTAGGCCAGAGAGGATATGTAATAATAATCCTGATATGAGTGAAAAATAAGTAGCAAAAAATGAAAAGATTTGTCATATATAGCAATGTTAAATAATAATATTTTGATACCGTATGTTCTCTATTAGCAGCGAATGAGCTTACGTGTAATTTGACACAATTGTTTGTGTCAAAATACAATGTTTAGCTAGTTACAGTATATAACATAAGAGACAATTTCAATAAATAACTGCTTTTACCGGGGGGAGTTGCATGACACGATTGGTTGAAATAAATAAATTAATATTCAAGAGCAAAATACTTTCCGATAGCACGCATAATAGCTTTAAATTGACTGATTATATCGCTACGAGCTGAATAAATAAACGAAAAACTAATGTAAAAGTGCTTTTAGACACAGTTTTGATTTAAACTGTTGAAAGTAACCATAGGTTTTTTATTTACCGTGATCATAGCAAGGCACGAAATTCAAGAAGAATGCAGAGGAACGTATATATTTCACTCTAGTACTATTGCTCAAATGTTTTCAGTAACTTTTAGCAGTGACAAGTTTCCTAATACGTATGCATTTCGATAAACCACTGTGTGTATGCGCAGTTTAAAATGGAAAATTTTTGAACGCAATACAATCACGCGTAGAAAGAAATTGTGGCGTCAAACTGGTTGTCGGTTGATTTGTTTTTGCAATAGACATAATTTTAGAGCCGGTTACTATATTATGTTTCCATGTTTTATTGAAGACTATTCTGTAAAGAAATCGCTGCAATTATTTTATCTGATTGTAAAATGAACGTTGTTACTTCGACGATGGCCTACGGACGACTGAATTCTTCACCATTGTATTCAAACGAATCACGTGGTGCGCTGTTACATTCTCATTCAAACCCGGGATTCAACCATTAGGGGCGTTTCGGTAAAAAAAAAACATCGCAAAGCATGCAAATTCAATATTTTCAAACCAGTATACTAAAACAGAAATGCTCAACGATGCAAATGAAGGATATATATTGCACATATTCTACTCCCTATTATTCCTTCGTAAAATGGAATACCCTCTTTCAACGTAAATATTCTTAGTAAAACCACGTGTTATGCTGTTAAAAGTGGCTGTTACATACTCTTCCGATGGTCTGGAAAATGTGTTTAATTAGCTCTCACTTAAGCGTCGATGTAGATTTCCCAGTGGGAGTGAAACTGGTTCGAATCTGTCATTAGAAAATAGGGGTGTTTTCAGCAAAAAAACAACAAACAAATAACCCTGGAGTGCATACAATGCACTGAATTTAGGAACAAATCTCGCATTAGTTACAACAGCAGAATACCACAGAAATATCAGACAAAACATGAAAACACTACATATTGTATTTCAGCCTGAACACTCTCTATTGTAATTCCAGGAATTACCCCCATATGTACAACAATTTTCCACCTTGGTATCACCCACCCCTGAAAACACGCTGAAGCATTGGTTGTACAACCATGACATAAGTAGCTCCCAGGGTCTGCAATAATTAAAATCTTACCTAATATTTAGTTTTCTAATCCTAGTAGATCTTCGTTCAAATTAATTGTTTTTTCTCCACGAATGTAAATTTTTAATTCTGCCATGACTATCACAGTAGAGTTTCGTTCTATCCGTACTTTGGTCATGTTTAGCTTTGACAGTATGACCAACTAAAAGTTAGCCGGGTCTCTTACCTGTCCAAGGACGAGGAGTTGCATGACAGTTCATTAGGAATTTGTGCATTTCTAATTTTCTGTATTTTTTTTCTTCCAATTAAAGAACATCTAATTGCTTTGCTAAGGGTTTTAACATTTTCAGCTAGTCTATTTGCGTGTTATTTTTGGAATAAGATTCATTTTATTTATACTAGGCCGTTTTGTTGTAAATTTGTCGGAAATTCATAGAAAGTGAAAGTCAAAGCGAGCTTATTACTTGCAGAGAGCATGTAACATATGAAAACATAATAAACCAATATTGATCGAGTGAACATTGCTGAAATTGTTTGAAGACGAGTAATTTGTCTCTGCACCATTAAACCAATTTCAGAATTGGGATTTTTTTGTGTCAGTAATACAATATTACTTTGTCAATATATATTAGTCGTGTCAAAAGGTGTAATTGAACTTTAATGACGGGAAGACTACAGATAACCAATTCATATATCGCTTTGACCTTGCCCGCATTCTTGACAATTAACACTCGAGGAATCCTCAATGATATACGGGTATATAACTGTTTATATTGAAAACCTGTTATTGAAAACTCATAAATGTACCCAACCTTGCCTGCCGTAAGTGAAGAGTGTAGTTATTCTGACCGATGGTAACAATTATATCTTATAATCATCAAAAACCGTCTTTTCCAAAAAATATTTTAATCCACACTGGATTAAAATAATATCCTAACTACATAATTGATTTTTTTTTATCAATATACGTTATTCACATAAATGTCCTGGTAATAACTTTCTTTGGCTGTAAATTTTTGAAATAATCACCCAAGTAACAATGATTTTTAATCGACCACTATCCCCTTCTTCATAGAAACACAAACAGATACAATATTAGATCACCAACCAGACTTTGATTTGTTTGTAGTTTGATTTATTCAATATATAATTTAAGTGTGAAAGCTACTGGACTCCGACTATTCATGATCGATTATGTACATTGACGTCACCAAATACCCGCTGATATATTCACTTCAATGTCTTTTCCTAACAGGTGCCACCTGGAATAAAATATATAATATAATATCAGATCGTATTGTCATTTAATAAAATCACCTCATGTTTGCCCAATGAATATAATTATTATATAATCAGTATATTTCCATGTCAATTATTGCTTTGGCTATCATTATTCACACCTTTGTTCATTCATTAAATTTGGTACGTAATCAATAAGTTTCGAATTTTCATGGGAACCCTATGCTGCAAGTTCTAATTCACACGATTTCGAATGAACAATAAATAGTTAGCTATGTGATCTTTATATGCCAACTGCATACCGAATAAGTTGGCACAGTGTATAATGAAGGGTTTTTACCAGGGCAATTTTTAGATATCGCACCGAATCGTAAATACGACGTAATATCACGAACGTGCGATTTTGGCATGTGTGAATAACCATACGGGCATGCATATTCTTACGGGCACCCCACACCGAGCACTAAGCACATAAGACAATATAATGCAGATAGTACGTACAAAGAACACAGCAAGGTGCACAAGTTCCCTGTCCTACAGTACAAGAAACCCAATCGCATCCACATGCAGCAGGCGAGGGTACTGTGACTCCACTGATGAGTTGCAAGGCTCCATCACAGTCACCACTGTCTAAATCAAGGTTTATATTCATTTTATACTCAATAACACCTGTGAATAAAATTAAAATTAATTGAGATAGATTAATCAACAAATATCATTCGTCGTTTCTTTCATTGCCTATAAATCATAAATTTTAGTTGCAATTCAAGAAAATTATTCGAGGTATCCTTTTAAAATTAGAATTCACAGTTAACCCATAATGCATCATTATAGTTACAGTGTACAAATACATCAACGAGTATCACATCTTTTGTTTATTTACATGTAACACATTGTTACAGTCTCTCTATGTGATATAAGCGATTAAACCGATGATGACCGGTAGTATGTGTTTCGTCGCAAAAACCGTCCGTCGTTATACGGGTAATTTTCAGCAATTTGAGCTAACTGAAACATTTTCCCGTCATCTCGTCATGGATTGCGAAGGCGTCGATAAACAATTTCAGCAACGTTCTCTCAAACAATTTAATTGGGCAATATTTTGACCAAGATTTCTAAGTTGTTTTAGCGGACATTTACTGGCGGTTTTGGAAATTATAAGATATGTAAAAGTGGAGAAATATATATACGGGTGATTGGTATATAATATTAAATGGTTCCTTTATGTCAGTCCGTTTTGTATTCTTGGACTTTTGGAATTGTTTTTTTCACTATGCATACAAATATTAGTTTATTATGCCGTCATATGTGTCAAACGCGTATTTTTATAACACCATTTGCATTGACCCATGCGCAAGGCATTAACATGTACAGAACACTTTACAAATCGATTCATTATGTGTACATTTGTATAATGTATAAATAATCATCAGCCTGTTTGCTATATATATATATATATATATATATATATTTATGTACTTTCACTCACCGTTAACACGTTCACCGAGAACACAGAATAACACCAACAAACACAGGAACTTCATGATACTAAATTAGAACAGAAATATAACATTAATTTTACTTAATTTTAAACATCCGTTGTACATTTATACACCTATAGTTGAACTGCGAGTCATAATCCACTGCTACCTAGTGCGCAGTAGTTTAGTAGTTTACTCGGAAGCAAATCTTTTCACGTTATACTTACAACGCAATGCGTCAATTGCTAAATAATCGAAAAGTGTGCCACTTTATAATACGAAATACTGTACCCGCCACAGTTTTTTAAATGAAATCATCATACTGAGAGGCTAACTGTGTTTTACAGCAAAATACCTTGAATTTAGGGACAAGTTATTATAATAACACTATGAACTCCATGCCATCTCCCCAGCAATGAAGGGGAAGACCGAGGAGAGTAGAATTTTTCTGTTACAGTGTGACAATTTGTGTAGGTAATTTATCATGCAATTTTGTTATTAATGTTTTAGAACATAGGAGTTTTTTTTCTAGAAATCCCTCTAATGCGTAACTAACATTAAGAAAAGTGTTGGACCCGAATAGGACGTGTATCATCGTATAATTACAAACAATATGCACATGTGAAGCTTACTAGTACTTTTGCCAGATAGACAGAGAATAATACACATGGATAACACAGGCGTTGTTAACTTTATGCCAAACCTATAATGAAGTACACCTACCTGTACAGGTTATCAACAACTTCAGAAGACCAGTCTGTATGACGAGTAATACCCTGACAAAAAGGGTTCACTACTTATACACTGTCATTGCGTGACAGGAAAGCACATATGAGACATGATTGTCACAAAACTATATTTATTGTTATATCCATAAATCACAAAATAAGTGTAGCGTACAAATGACGTCAGTTTTTTTGAGTGCGGCTGAACGCACGCTCTTGGGTATTTAGTACAAACTATTATTAATTCACTGTAATGTGGCCAATAGATCAAGGTTCAGATTCAAACGCCTTTGTTGAATTAGAATCAGTGGATTATCCAAGAGTTGGTAGTTTCAGTTATGCTACATGGTACCAACTAGAAAAGCACAGTGTTCGGCATGTTTTACAGGAACACTACTAGAGCAAATCACCTACGTATACCCAAGAGTTATTGTCACTGGTATATTTTTATTATTATTTTACTTGTGATTTGAAAACAACGTAATTTCGTGTCCTGTTCTTTTAAATGTCATCTCGCGTTGCGTGTTAATAAGTTCGAAATAATATATATTAGGTATGCGTTTTTATTCACTGTGAACGGTCTTTAACGTTCAATCAGTACTCGATTAACCACGTTTCACAAGCCATGTATGGTGGTATGCACCACGTGAGTTAGTTTGGATAATGCAATGTTCCACTCTTCTTTGTTGAGCTCTCAAGCGACGGTGCGTCTTCGCTTAAATGAATGTAAAGAACGGCGTTCACAACATCGACATTGTGTGATCGCCCATCAAAGGAGATTTATAAATTTTCGGGAGTCTGAATGTAAGAGGGTGCGACGTTTTCGTTTCAGAGGGCTGTCGTCATACATTATTATATGATAGAGGTAAGTTTATTTTCATTGGTTAATCAAGCATCTATCCGAAAACAATTAAACTAATAATATGAGCCTGACGCATCGTGAGTTGGTGCAACACGAATACAAATGTTTTACAATGCGGAATAGGAAGAAGTACTAATTATACTAAATATGTGACTACAGTAGAAATTCATACTATCCATCAGAAGGTCGAATTCTGAACTCTAGTGTACACGAAAACCGATGTAAAATACACGCAGTGGTAGCTGTACGTAACATTACATCCACAGCTTACACTGTCTCGCAAAGAAACTGTGATTGTCATTATTCAAACATTCAAAAATCTAATATCTAGATTTATAGATCCCACGAAGTTACTCGCATCAACCTGCACTACGGACAAGTGATATCAGATAATAGTACCATTTTAACTAGTTAAGCGGTCAGATGCAGAGATATGGGTAGACCCAGTGGAAGTGACAGGCTCACCCTTCTTATCTATGATAGTGTAAATATTGAAGCACTAAAGCTAGTCTACATTTGACAAAAACCAGGTCATAGCGCCTAGTCACTAAATGAAACATAAACATTGCTATAATCACTCAAAGCCTTGTTTGCACGGCTTACTTTAATAATGGTGCTTATTTTTAATTTTATTCAGAATTCTGTCGGATAATATTTAAGTGCACAGAACCCAGGCATTTATGCTTGCACAATTCAGAGTAAGGTTTTCGCCAGATCACACAAAAAGGAAAAGTACATTTTAAAATAAACATGTCAGTTGTTAAAAGTTGGTGGAAATGAAAAATGTTCTTTTAATTATGTTTGATGTCTCAGACCGCCATCATATCGGTGTCAATGTGGCCCTAGTTTTTTTTTTATCATGGAAATAGGTTGAATATGATATGTTAATGCTTATTATATGTTATAGTTTTTCACATACGAAATAGTATATATAACCAACTGCTTGGGTAATCAGTTTCGTAATGTTTTATATTCAGGTTCATGTACATCAACGGGCACTACGCCCTCTATCTTTTTACCATCCACTATAAACACGTGGCTGGCACTGTGTTATTCCCAAACTTCATGTACATCAACAGGCACTACCAAGTACGCCCTCTATCTGTTTACCGCCCACTATGAACAGGTGGCTGGCACCGGCCATTCACGAACTTCATGTACATCAACATGCACTACCAAGGAGGCCCTCTATTTTGTTACCTTCCACTATAAACAGCTCGCTGGCACTTTGTCATTCACAAACTTCATGTACATCAACATGCACTACCAAATACGCCCTCTATCTGTTTACCATCCACTATAAACACGTGGCTGGCACTTTGTCATTCCCAAACTTCATGTACATCAACGGGCACTACCAAGTATGCCCTCTATCTGTTTACCATCCACTATAAACACGTGGCTGGCACTTTGTCATTCCCAAACTTCATGTACATCAACGGGCACTACCAAGTACGCCCTTTATCTGTTTACCATCCACTATAAACACGTGGCTGGCACTGTTTCATTCACAAACTTCATGTACATGAACGGGCACTACCAAGTATGCCCTCTATCTGTTTACCATCCACTATAAACAGGTGGCTGGCACTGTGTCATTCATAAACTTCATGTACATGAACGGGCACTACCAAGTACGCCCTCTATCTGTTTACCATCCACTATAAACACGTCGCTGGCTCTGTTCCATTCACAAACTTCATGTACATCAACAGGAACTACCAAGTACGCCCTCTATCTGTTTACCATCCACTATAAACAGGTGGCTGGCACCGTGCCATTCATTTGTGTTCCCCCTTTAATCGGAAAAGTATTATTTATCAAAATGCAGTAATGTTAAATTTTTTATCATTTATTTTTATGCAAATAATGTGTTTGAATGGCATTTAATGAATAGCAAGCAATTGAGAGAATTACGTCATTTGTTTCCATAAATTAGATAATTTTGGCTGTAATTTAAATTCACCAAACAAGCAGAAATGAGTTTCGTGGGCCACAGTTCAGGCCTGCTACACATATATACGGTTACCCTCATCTTTGACCTTAAAATAGTATGGGATCACAAAAATTTGTATTGAAGTTCCTAGCTATTACCATGGCGGCGGCACATGGGGGGGGGGTCGCTTCCTCGAAAAAAAGTTGGGGAGGGCGTCACCCCTCCAAATACATGATGAAACCTTTTGTGTCAGCAAGATTTGTCCCTCAAAATAATAAGGGGGAGCATGCCCCTGGACCCCCTAGCAAGGTTGCGCATCTGAATGGTTAGCATATCTTGCCCCCTCATGCAAAACTCTGTGCCGCCGCCTCCGTACTAGTACACAAACACACACTGTGACCTCGATCTGTGTCCATTTATCAGTGTAATTTGTCTTGCCATATGGCTTACATTACAACCATGTTTTCCAAGTTTGAAGTTCCTAGCTATTCCTCAATACCAATAAACACACAACATACACAAATCTGTAATGTGACCTCAACCTTTGACCCGAAAGGTGTTGCGAGTCGCACGGGGAACAATTTTGCAAGTCTGAAGGCTTTTTTCCCTGTGACATTACTCTTTAACTTCAAAATGTGACAAGGTCTTGCAAATCATACAAGGGCCATGTATGTCAACTGTTTTTCTTACATAGTTTAACACATGCTGTGAACTTCAACTTTGTCACTAAAAGGTTGATGTGCGCGCGTGGATTCCATAGGGAAAATTTGTGACAAATACCTATTCACTTGGAGTTATAACGCAGAATTACATAAACACTGAACGCCCTACTTGCTTCGCGCACGTAACAATATTTGTCAGCCAAATTCCGTAATGAGAAGTGGATTGAGGTATACATGCTCCTAATAATATAAACCAATCGTTGAATGAGCATGCGCAAGTTAGTTATGTATTATTATAGACTTGGGAGAGCTTATTTAGATTCTATGCATATCCACACATGTGTGTATGTTCAACATTGAGGCTCGTGCAATAGAATAATAACTATAAAGTGAATTCCATTTATTGATTAGTTTACAGTAAATCAACGCCCGTCCAGCGCTTCGTCGTCCAGTTTATTAACTCGAGTATTGATAACAATACCATGCATGTTGAATTTCACCTGTTACTGAACACGTGCAATATACATGTATATATGAAGCTGTTTATTATTAAAAATACTAAAATCGATGACTTTATAGCTTGCACAGTATGGCTGCTGACAATGTTGATGTGTGTGGGAATTTTGTTTCTGTTGAAAATACAGATGTTTTGCAATAAGACATGCCTATTTTTGAATTAAAACAATGTGTTTTATCGAAAACAATGAAAGTGTCCCCACGATTTACAGTGTGGCAGTTTGAGAGTGCAGTTATTCCGACCACAGGGAACACCGATGGCTAAAAGTTACTGTTCTTTTCTTCTTGAAAAATTACATACATGAGACGAATACTATCAGTATTGGTAATGTTTTCAAACCACATATTTTCTTGATCAATAAACGTTACTCACATAAACCTTCCGGTAAAATACGTTTGGGTTTTTGGCAGTAATTATTTAGATTAACTTCCAAAGTAACACGGGTTTTCAATCGAACACTCTTCTATCTTCACTAGAAATACAAATAATTAAATATAAGACCACGAACCGTACTTTGATTTAGTCTGATTTATTCAATATATAATTTTACTATAATTGCTACTGGACTCCGACTATTCATGATCGATTATGTACATTGACGTCACCAAATACCCGCTGATATATTCACTTCAATGTCTTTTCCTAACATTTGTTACCTGAAATAAAATATATAACATGATATCAGATCGTATTGTCATTTAAGAAAATCACTCCATGTTTGTCTAATGAATATATTATAATTAGTAACTTTCCATGTCAGCCATGGTTCGGCTATCCTCAGTCACACCTTCACGTTTTCCATCAAGTTCGTACGTAATAAGTAGGTTTTGAGTTTTCATGAGAACCATATGCTGCATTAGGTCCTCGTCAGTTCAAAAATAACAATAGGTAATAATAATATTTTTTGAAAATTATCATAGATAAGATGATCGTTTTCATGTGGTTCCTATGAATTGAATACGCGTGTGTCACGTTTTCCCTTGCAATTTATAGTGTTCCCCGGAATTCCCCACAACAGCGCACATGTCTGTTTAAGTGTACATAGCTATTTGTC